AGAATAGAGCTTACACACTTAGATTATTTTTTTTATTTTACCGATATCTCAACAGCTGTAGGTTCGGTAAACAATTTACAGTTTTCCTGTAATTTTTTACAGATATCTGTGAAAAATTACAGGAAATCTGCGAAACTGTTTACCGAACGTTCAGCTGTTGAGATTTCGGTAAAATTTTACAGATTTCTGTAAAAATTTCTAAGGGTGTAAGCTTGTTATAGATACGTAAAAAAGTAGATTTTAATTCTAGTAATAAACTGTATTTGTTTTTGTGTTGCCAAAATGAAGTGAGAAATGCTCGCTACACATCTCAGACTTTAAGTGTAAAACATTATTGATGTTGATTCAAATGTTAAGATTAGCCTACTCTTTACATATCTATAGTAAACTCACAGACAAACAGACATAACACTCGTAAGATGTTATTCGAACAAGCATTTAACGGTCAATTTAAAAGTATCGTAGTTGGTAGTGTGTAAAGGGTGATACGGTCAAAATTTGGTCAATATCAACTTGACGTATTTCTTTCAATTTTGCATTTAAAAAACCTGAACACCCCTCATTTTGAAGGTGTGTGTGTGTAGAATGTTGCTCCTATTTTGATTTTGGAATTCACTCTTCAGTTGTCAAAATGCCGTCCAAGCAAGAAGAGCAGCGTATCAAAATTTTGCTCGCGCATCGCGAAAATCCGAGCTACTCGCACGCAAAGTTGGCATAATCGCTAAAAGTTGCCAAATCAACCGTTACAAATGTAATTAAAGTGTTTGGGGAACGTTTGTCGACAGCCAGGAAGTCTGGATCGGGGGGAAATCGAAAACCGGAAGCCGCTGAGATGACAAAGAGAGTTGCCGGTAGTTTCAAGCGAAACCCTAACCTCTCTCTCCGAGATGCCGCAAATAAGCTGGGTGTATCGTCTACAACCGTGCATCGAGCCAAAAAACGAGCCGGACTATCGACTTACAAGAAGGTAGTGACTCCAAATCGCGATGATAAACAAAATACGACGGCCAAAGCGCGATCCCGGAGGCTGTACACGACGATGCTGACGAAGTTTGACAGCGTGGTAATGGACGACGAAACCTACGTCAAAGCCGACTACAAGCAGCTTCCGGGACAGGAGTTTTATACGGCAAAAGGAAGGGGAAAGGTAGCAGATGTTTTCAAGCACATGAAACTGTCAAAGTTCGCAAAGAAATGTCTGGTTTGGCAAGCCATCTGTACCTGTGGCTTGAAAAGCATCATTTTCATAGCTTCCGGGACTGTCAACCAAGAAATTTACGTGAAAGAGTGTTTGAATAAACGTCTGCTGCCTTTCCTGAAGAAACACGGTTGTTCCGTACTGTTTTGGCCGGATTTGGCATCTTGCCATTACGGTAAAAAGGCCATGGAGTGGTACGCCGCCAACAACGTGCAGGCCCAAGTAACAATCTAAATGCTTGGAAGATTTATTCTTATTTTATCATTGTTTTATCATAGCATCCCTTCCAGCCTGTGGTTGTATTACGGTTTTGTGTGCTTGTCATAAAATCAGGCCGTCAAGTCGTCTATAAAACTGTTTTATGACTACTAAATTAAAACTCAGACTTCATAGTTTTAACGGTAGCTGTAAGGTGGTTCTGCATCACTACTTATAACTGAAGAATAAAACCAAAACAAAACATTCAATTATGTTTTATGGTACACTTTTTATGACCGATATAAAACTTGAAGCAGTCTTAGACCTTCATTAAAGCTTCATTACAACTATCATCTTTATCAGAGGCCTAAGATTCACAGATAAGAAATATACTGCTACAACAAAAAATACTCTGAAATTTTTTGTCATTATAAAAAACAAATCTATTCAAATATATGAAATGAAAACCCCTTCAGTGCTTCTGAACACGATGAAGATGAGACGATCGACAATATGAAACTCCTGGAGGAACTACAGTTATACGATCCTTACATAAGGCACAGTGCGGTGAAGGAGCTCTTAAAAATATGCAACAAGCGGCTTTCCGATACACTTCCGAAAGATCCACGAACTCTTCTTAAAGCAACGCCGACAGTTTCACTAAATCCGTTTGGAGATGGCCAGTATTGACATCACGGCTTTAAACCTTGTATTGAAAAAGCTTTTAGTGGATCCAATAAGCATTTCTTACATCTTGATTACAAGCGAAAATAGGAGGATCGCTTGGAATGTTGACTTTTTGACAGGTGGTCATGGTTTTTGTTTTGTTTTGATTCGCTGTACCGAATAAAACCAGCAAGCTAGTTATATAGCTTAAATATAACTTAACGCTCTCAATTTGGACTACGAAATGCTAAGATACAATTATTAGGTTTATGTTATGCTATAGAATTCCAATCTAGGAGAATATGTTATATTGAGGTATTTTTAAGGAGTAGCAAGTTATAACGAAAAAAAATGTCGCCGTATGAACAAATTTCACACAGTATGAATAATTACGCTTTAATTGATAGGCAATAAAGCACTTTCATACATCTATGTATAATTGAATAATAATATGACTGGTTATTGCTCAATAGTAGTAACAGTTTTGTACTAAATAGATAATCTTTGAATGACTCTTTAATGCATGGTGCTAATACAGACAAATTAAAAATATCCCTATATTTTAGTATTCATATGGCGCACTAAATTTATGCTCCTATTTGGTATAATAATCACCATAAATATTGCACGGCATGCTGTGAAGCATATACAGATTGGTTTAAAATTATAATAAAGTCGTCTTATTTTCAATGTACAATAATATCAGCCATTATTACCAACTGACAAGGATCATGATTTCACATCAAACATCGAAAGAATAAAACCACAATAAAATATTTCTCAATATTAACTATCACCCAAAAACCCCAACTTAAAACCTTCAAAGTTGTCAAAATGTTTTGCGTATCATGTTTTATCAACTTCTTCAGGAGCGATTTATGCGGTTGTAATATAGTTTTATGGTAGTCATTAGAAGGCTGTTAAAACTTTCTGACCTGGAGGAGGTTTTATGTTTTCATTTTTAACAATCACGTCTAGAGTGTGATAAAACTGACATAAATCCTGTGCTCCTAAAGTAGTTCGCATATCAAGTTTTAATGACTGCATTAAAACTGGGCCAATTGGCCATGACATGGCTGTATTGCGGTTCTCAGGAGATTGTTAAAGCAATGTGGTCGTCAGTGAAGCTTTTATAATTTGGTTATATCAACTGCTATAAAACTTAAATAAAACAAAAATTGTTGCTTGGGGGTGGTTCCCAAGGACAAGAACCCTCCCAACACGCCAGAGCTCCGCCCAATTGAGAAATACTGGGCCATTGTCAAGCGGAACCTAAAGAAGACCAAAAAAACTGCTAAGGGCGAGCAGCAGTTCAAGGCAAACTGGCTTTCTGCGGCGAAGAAGGTGGACAAGGTGGCTGTACAAAATCTGATGGCAGGGGTCAAGCGTAAGGCCCGGCAATTCGGATTTGGAAAAGCGGAAGCCTAACTGAATATTTTTCCTGAATTTTATACTAATTGAACTTGAAAAAGAAATTTAATTTGATTTTTTAAATAAACGATTTCACCGATTTACACGCGTTTTCCCTTGACCAAATTTTGACCGTATCACCCTTTACTAGAGTCAGTGTATAATGAGTCACGCCAAGAGAAAAATAGTGGAACTCGCATCACGGTTTTCGAAAGATTCCCTTGGCAACAGAGGACTTCTGCATCAACTTCAAAGGACTTCTAGCGAGAAATTAAATTACCGGCTGCAGTAAATTATTATATTAGTGATTTTGTCGGATTAAATCAGCAACATATATTACAAATTCTCATTACTGATCATTACCAAACGAATCTAATTACAATTTATATGCTCACTGCGTGTTTATGGTCATTTCTTCGATTACATTTTATATTTTATTGCAATACCTTTCGTACAGCTTTCATAGCATCGTTTATTTATTTTGCACGATAGGTAGCTAGTTTGACAGTTTAATAGGTAGACTTGGCTTCACTCTTGGCGTGACTCATTATACACCGACTCTATTGTGCCCACCACAGTGTACTCAACAGATGACGGTAATGTTTTAGCGACGATGTTTTACAGTGAGAAATATTCAATGTGGTTGTCTGCGATAAACGATTATCCTAATATATCAATTAGTTTGAAGAAAAACAAATTTCAACAACTGAGTGCAAAGTTATTAACAAATGAGCAGTTGGTATTTACAACTGTGCATGCCAAGCATGATCAAAGACCGTGCGTGCTCTCTCCAAATGCATAACGAAGCTCACTGTTTCACCGAGTACATCCCGAAGTTCAACATGTTGTTTGGTGAGCAGAGCCGATGTAAATCACGCCTCACCCTAGAACGAACCCCGCATCACTCATCGTGATGCGTATTTGTGGAAATCCAGCTTAAGCATCAATCTGAGCTCGAGCTCTTTTGCGCTCTTTGGATTTGACATCATTGGTCTTTATATGTGAGGGATGAACTAGCTCACGATGAATGAACATCTATACGGCATAATCTGAGTTCAAGAAGTTTAGGCAAGCCTGGTGTTCAACACGGAAATCAAGATCAATGGAAAACAAATCAAGGAAAAAAAACTAAATATTAATTTTAAGAATAAACATTAAAACTGCTGAATTTATTGTACTGCGTACTTTATTCTGTCCACACAGAAATAAACAGTTTCCCAATAAATCTTGTTATCAAATAGTTAACCACTCTCATGACCCCGGAACAAACCATATTCCGAAAGCAAATCTATAATGATAACTTCGATCGAACTTTAAAAAAAACTGTTATAAATATTGAGAAAATCAAGAAAACTTGTCATTATTAGATGTGTGTACTTTATGTTGACCAGTACTGTAGTTACTCCAGGTTGTCCTTTTCGATTTTTTTTCGCCCATGCCAAGACTGCTGCGTGGTTCAATAGCCAATAACCCATTCGGTCTAGTGTTCCTCTACTTTCCCTATTATGTGACTTTTCCTATCTTTCAGGCCTCCATCAACTTTCCCCGTACCGCTACATCATTTCTACTCTCCCCGGTGTGATATTCTGTATCAACATTAAAGTCGTCAGTGCGGATCGCATGGAAATCGACCATACAGCGATCAAAACGGATTTGAATGTCAGCAAGTACTCCATCTACGGGGTTACAGCCTCACGGAACCGATCCTGCTGGCTGTTTGTAGGCTATCCATCGAAGAGTTTCGATCGTCTGAGCTTACGAACGCCCTCGGTCATATTCTTCTGCAAGTTCAACGAATACGACGCGATGAAAATCCTACTGAACAACCCAACACTCCGCATGACCAACTATTACGATTGTGCCGAAGTAATCCGGTACTGCGGTAATCGTAATCCTGAAACGGTGAAACCCCTCGAGCTGATGGCTTCCAACTGTGCAAACGTAGACGATAGCTACGCCTACCATCTGAAGTTGCAGCTGATTCAGCTGGGTGCGCGATTAAGCCACTACAAAAGGCGCTGCCAATCGGTATCCGAAGTGCTCTACAACCAATCGCAGTTCCTCAGAACAGTAATCGAAATTCTGCACGCAGCAAAGGTGATCTACTACTTTCTGCACGTACGACATACCCTCAGTCAACTAAGCTATCAGCAACTGCTAACGATCCGTTGTTTGCGTAACTTTATGCAAGAGTTCGTCACCGATAGCTTCCCGGGGGACTACGAGCACGTACACCTGGCGTTGAAACCCCCGATGGAGGAAGTGATCGTCCGTGCGAACGAACTACTCTCGAGCACCCAACAACCATTGTACGCCGAGGAATGCTCGTTCTGTGGTGACGCGATTCCGGAAGCGAAGCAAACCTGCGTGGAGAATCACCAAACATTCCGCTGCTCGATAACGAAACAGCAAATCGCCATGCAGAACGTGGAAACAGTGTGCGAAATGTGCGAACGTTGTTCGCTCGACGTCCAGCTGTTGGCTGACATTTTTTGCGCCGACGGTGGTCAGCTCACTATCTACTATTCGTACTGCTGCTTGTGTGATGTGCCGTTTAGCAAGCACGTGACTCCGTGAGGTTTAAATAAAGACTTTGAATTGAAACTACCGAATGCAGTTTGTTGTGCTTTATTGTTCGAGAAAAAAATGCCCTATGACTTCCCTCATCGATGCACGAGACTGGACCCCCAGGACGTGTTGACGCTTGACCTATTCTAAACGTTTGGATGTTCTAGCTTGATGGTTAAATTTAAGATTCAATTAAAACCCTTTTGTTTGGGTCTGATTTACAGTAGACTTAATGGTAATATGCTATGTGGTTTGCAACGAGATCACTCAAGGGCTTGTTTGCCCGTGCTCGAAGGTAATCCAATGACAGTAATTTTTATTAATACATAGGGGAGAACAGTCCATAACACACCACTGGGGCCGCTCTCCCACTACCAGTTTCGGGATTCCACGTGCCAGAATTCTCCATCCCAGATTTGGGTCCGATACCATCCTACCATACCTAAGTATTAAACTAGAACGAACTCACCAATTTAGTTGACTGCTGGATGCAACTTGTGGAATTCAAACCGCGAGAAATCGTGGATAAAATGGAAACTTTTCCCAAACAAATGCTTTTCATTACCATTACCGCCATTGAATAATTGGATCATGAAAAATACTTGATAGTTGTCGGGCTCATCTGCAACTCTCCGGATGGCATCCATGTTTAAGTTGGCGGCTGCTTCCCGTTGTGAAAGGGTTTTCTAGGCAAACTTGTACTTCTTGTTCTTCTTCGCATTTCAAGATTATTGCTTATCGCATGTTATTTTATTGCGTGCCTAAAAAAATAACAGTGTAAGTTACACTGTGTAACTTTAGCGCATCCACTCAATGACGTTGCATCGTTGTTGTTTATGTTTGCTGCAGGTGTCTTTTTGTCATCATTTTTGCCTAGATTTTCGTTTTCGATAGCTCTGATCGATTTCGACTTCGGCTTTTCATGATAAAAATGTCATACGACCACGGAACCATCACTCTGGGACTCCGTTAACAGGGGCGGCGTTGTCAATCGATTCCCGTTCATTGGTTCGCAGACGATGAAGAATTCGTGGGAATTAATGACTATTTCCTGGGAACGGAAGTGCGGCCGATTATGTGCACTGAGAATAGCTACCAAATAATGCCGAATTTATGACAACAAGGAGCGGATTTTGGTGGCGGTGCCCAGCAAGATCATAACAAGAGCAAATTTTCATTACGTCGAATGTAACAAAGGTAAACAAAGTCGAGCTATCAGTGTCAATCGATTCTCCTGCTATTACACTATATACTGTCCGAATATAGGATCGAATCCCATTTTTAAATTTATTTACTAGTCAAATTACTTTTTGACGTAATCACCTTCCGATCAAAATAGTTTTCAATGTTACTTAAGTCACCCAATTTCTATGGAGATGCCGTTTGACTTAAGTAACAGCGCTGAGAAACCCGTGAAAAGTGTACGTTCGTCGTTTCGCTTTCTCATTATTAAAGTGAATAAATCGAACTGTTTGTTGCTAAGATGATTTCGGTAGTCCTAAAATGATGAATGGGCTGCACGTAAGGAGACGTAATTGATAATTCTCCCGAATATCCTGGTAAATACACTTTGACTTAAGTAACAATAGGGGCCACCAAACGACGTATAATAACTTTTGACTCAAAAACCAGTATTTTTTAGCATGAAAGCTAGCGATTTGCATTTGTATGATTAAAACCCTGCTAAATATGTTAAACATTGCTATCACTATGAGATTATATGTGTTTACTTGAAAATAGGAATAACTTTTCGGTCATCAAAACAAAACTTTATTTTTCTCGGATTGGTGCGGATGTTACTTACGACATAATGAAAATTTGCTCTTGATAAAGTAATTACTTGCCTCTCGTGTGAAATACATCTTTGATTAAACGAATGTCAAATGTACACTTAAAACCAAAATAGTCAAAAACATAAAACAAAAACAATTGTCAGACTAAGTATAGGATTCGCAAATATCACACATATTGAAATATTTAATATTTCCACCATCGGTATTGCTGCTGATACTTGGAGCTGTTCTTCCCCTAGTTGCGTGCTCTAAACTAAGTTCTTATTTGCCACAGATGACATTGTCGGGATGGAAGAGGTCTCGGAATAGTCCCGGCTTTACCTGATCCATAACGGTTGGTTCCGTATCGACCCGGTTGGTTCCCGGAATGTACAGTTCGATTGCAGTTCACTAGTAGAACGTTCCACAGAAACTAACTTCCCAGGGTAAAATGTTCTTCATTAAAAGAACTTCAGAACGGGGAATCACAAGAAAAAATCATGACAGCAAAAATAAGCACGACCGTTCGGCGGCACAGCCTACTTCGTTCATGAAGACAATAACGGGATTGATGACATCGAGAAAAAATTATGATTCTTCGTCGCTAATCAAGTGGTAATCAATATCAACAGTATTTTTATCGTCAGGTACTAGGTTCACGAAGAACTCGTGATTTACAGTAGATACATATTTCAACAACTGTTGAATGCCGTTGTACCATAGAGGTAACTCTAAGACTAGAAGGTCCCGAAATAACGTGCTCAACTTTTTGGCTCAGCTCTGGTACTCTCTTCGGTCCCAAGCTAATCGAATCACCCCTCGAAACATGGGAAAATCCACTAACCCCACATTTTATCTGTCAAACTTTCATAGCGAATCAAAACAAACATTGTGTAGTAGTAGAATTTCGACTAGAATGGGGTACGTAAATCGTTTGCTTGGGACCAATAGGCTAGTCAAGTAGTGAGCCAATTTAAAATCGTTAGTTTCGTATTGATTGTTGGTTGTACTTAGCACGATAAATAGTGTGCCCATTTGGATGCAATAACTGCGTCCCGGCTTGGGCAAAGAAAGGCGGAGGCCCACCAGTCTCTTTCTCAAATCTAGTTCCATGAAAAGAACTTTAGGATCGTGACTGTACTTAAATAGAAGTACGTCGGGTTTTGATTTTTCCACGCGAATAACCTTGATGTTTGGCTTCTTTGTGTCCTTCTTTCGATTTGTTATCAGCTTCTGCAGTGCATCTGTCGAGTAGAAATCCTGGGATGTCATCTTTGTAACCAACAACTTGTTTTTGTTCTGCTTGCAAGAAGACACAACTTTGCAAAATTCGTCATAGCTGAACATGTTAGCAATCTTGCATAACTTGTTCTCTATCTGACTGAAATCTCGATCGTTTGGCAAGTAGCTATGACCACTAAAGCTGGGTTTAGACAGGGCAAGTCAAATGATCAATTCAGTTGAATTCAATTGGCTTGAACGCGAATTGAACGTGTAAACCTTGTCATTCAACTGACTTGATCAACTCACTTGAATTGAAAAAAAATTGAACCAGGCTCAACTTTTCAAGCCAATTGAATTCAACTGAGTTGATTATTTGACTTGCCTAGTCTAAACCCAGCTTAAAGCTGGGTTTAGATAGGGCAAGTCAATTGATCAAGTCAGTTGAATTCAACTGACTTGAACGCGAATTGAACGTGTAAACCAGGCCATTCAACTGACTTGATCAACTCACTTGAAATGAAAAAAGTTGAACCAGGCTCAACTTTTCAAGCCAATTGAATTCAACTGAGTTGATTTTTGATTTAGTCTAGACCTGGGTACTGCGGAGTCGACCAATTTTATTTTACAAGCCAATGGAAAACTGCTTGAAAATTTTCTCAAGTTTAAAACTGGTTTGCTCTTTCTCGGTTGATTCCCGCCAAAAGCTCTGAGCCAGGAGTTCTCGAGCCCCCATGACTCTATCAAAGTTTGTTTACATGCATGTTTCGCCAAAGTATTATTTACTGTAATTGAAAACTCAGCTGCCTCATAAAAACTATGCTGATTTTTATACTTTCATCACTGAGCATGTTGGTTTTTATATTTGAGCTTAAAATTAAGAATGTGTTATGAAAAAGTATAGATCATTTTTATGAGATTGCATGCTTGACGGTAGATAAGAACAGTAACTGCATTTGCTGATTGTGAATGTTTGGCTCCCGCTTGACAGTTCACACTGGCTCCCAAGTGACAAGCACCTTGAGTGAGTCCGCAGTACTCAGGTCTAAACTATAGATACTATAGATTCCATAGATAAGCGGAGGCAAAGTATAATGTAGCCAAACGAACTGTCAGTTAGTGTAGCCAAACGAGCATGCCGTCATCATGGTGTTGTTTGAGGGAGAAGTATTGTAATATTATGAGCACAAAACGCTTTCTACACTCCACATTCCGATTTATTTCGCGGACAACGGAAGAAGGAAAGATAAAGCAAACCATTCCTCGATTCATTGTTGCAAAGATTTGGGCACGAAACAAAACAAAACCGAGAACAAAACTGCGCAACGAAGAGCTCTATGATGGCATGAACTTATTTTTACAGATGCCTGTCAGATCATTTATTTTTCATGCCTGCCAAAACCTGATCTGAATCTGAAATTGGCGTAACATCTATTTTTTTAGAAGACTGAAAAGATCGATTTTTTCGATCTTTTCGTGGACAAAGAATCGATACGAAAAATTGGAAATCGGGATGAAAAAGATCGATCTTCCAAAGATCGATCCAAGATAGTGAAAATTACAGTCAATACTCTATGCCCGCACAGAAAAAAAGTTTTCATGTAGTTTATATTGTGAATGCACATAATATTTTTCCAATAACAAAACCAATTATATCTATCTGAATTTCACATAAAATTCATGTGATCACATGAGTTCTATATGATAGATCATTTAAATTTCATGTGATTTTGTGGTGCTATTCCTAATTATGATATCACATAAAATTTATGTGAAATTTTAATGAATATTTTCCATTGGATATGTGATTCATTCTTTGAGTGGAGGGTAGTCGAGAAATTTTCCAACCCCGTAAAATTCCTAGATCGAACTCAGCCACCTCCAGCATGGTCTTGCTTTGAAGCTGCGACTTTATCGACTGAGCTAAGGAAAGTCCCCACCGAACGTACGTCATTACTATCTATTAGCGTTTGATTTAGGATCTAGAATTAGTTAGAATCTACATCATTGCACGGAGAACTAGGGCACTCGGATGGTTTGACGCATTCTTCCTGAGCATTTCGGACGTAGCCATATTTGCAGACACATCCAATGACGCACTGTAAAGTGCAAATGCGAATTCCCTGGTCCAGATTATCGCAGGTGTCAGGGCACGCTGTCCCACACGTGGTGAACTCCTCATTCGGTTTGGAACAGTCTGCAGTGCAGGAAAATGGTGGTGAGGTGAGGGGATACTTTCATATGACGGAAATTAATAAGTATGTTACCTACCTTGACATGGAATACTGTCCACACAGCCACAGGCTAGAAAAAGAGTTGCTATCACAATCAGCTTCATTCTGGAACTATATCGGTGGGCGCTATCAACAGTCCTTTATATAGTCGATAAACTATGCTCATACGTTGTTATCGTACTTTGAAACACTTGAATGAGCATCGCAAGCGTAACTATTCAAATCGACGCATCAGATTTTGTAAACAATCACTTCAATCGACGATTTGTGGCAACTACTAGCTCACTCACAGAAAATAGCAGCACCAGCTAGTAGGGGAAAGATTCCTCTCCCTGATGATGGTGTTTGTTTGCGTGGTTGAGTTAGCAGTTAAGTGGTTGTTTACAAAAGCAGATACGTCGATTTGAATAGTTACGCTTGACCGTGCTAATTTTGTTTATACATTCCAGCGTTCCGGAGTTGTACCCAGTGGTGCCAGATATACACAGATAAAAATTCTGGATTTTAATTGTGATGTAAACATTCATTCACGTAGACTTGTATTTCATTTCACGCAACCGAGAAACTTGCAAACAATGTTGTTTACAAAGATGAGCTTTTGTATACAATATTTGTTACATTGCATGAAATGTGTCAGAACTTTACATGAAATATAATGTAAACGTATATGATATGTGACGCTACAATTATGTGCATCATATTGAACAGAAATTACACTACTTTTTCGAACTGTGTACAGACATGTCTGTATTTATACAGATTTTTGAAGTCTCGTATAGACCCAATACAGACTACAGACATTATACAGATATTTGAAACTTAAAACAGATTTTGTACAGATTTTTACCAATTGGTTCCTGAAAGTTAACATAAAATAAACAAAATTATTTTCGAATGTGTGCATCTTGCTATGATTATGTATAGCTTGTCGACTATTATAAATCAACGTGTATTATGTAACATGCAGTGATGGCACGAGTCCTGGAGTTTAACATTTTTTCCTTAACATTTGATACTTTTTGCGATAACCATTGTGACGACACACAAAAACAAACTGGCAAGCGGCAAAAATGTCATGACATTTCTAAACTGTTTTCTGCCAGCGACAGAACATTTTCGCACAAAGAAGCAGACAAGACCGGCGGCGCGCGCGACATAAATTTATGTCGTGTAGAATTTTGCTGATTTCTGGCTAATTACTGCATTTATTTGATGTTTATTGCATGGAATTAAAAGATAAGAATGAAGACTGACCACTCATAAGCATTGATGTTAAAATTATGCGTAAATAAGGGAGTTGGTAATTTACTGTCACACGCAAGCCTGCAGCTAAAATTTCATTACAATAAACTGTTTGGAAAAATCAGGCTGCGAGATTTTATTTATTCTCTATCTCCGCTGTTCGCTTGGAATGTAGTTTTAAACGGCCGCTCGTGTGCTGGCTGTTTTGTTTCGCTCTGGACGATGGTTTTTCAAAAAATGTACTGTTGCCACCTCTGGTAACATGTATGACTATTTTAAATCAACATGTACAATATGATAGGACTAAATAACATCATCTGTTCGGTAAGTTCTGATCGTTTCTTATTTATTATTATTTGAAATAATAGATTTTCCCTTTTTCTAGCCTTACCCACATGGCTATGTTCGACATTTTTTTCATTTGTTACTTTTTTAGGTTTTCACTTTATTCCGATGGTTCGGTACATGGACCTTGAATGGGATATGTATCTTTTTATATCTAGTGATTTTAAACAGCACAATGCGTTTTAAGTTTTGACTTTGTGTTTTTTTGTACTAGGAATATAAAATTAAAAAAAACCCACACACTCTTTAAATACAAAAATACTTATTTATTCAGTTTAGTGTGTGGCGAGCAATTTTATAGCCAAAATATATGTGGGAAATACGTAATCAGCAATGCGGCGATTTTTTTTTCTATTGTACAGATACCTAAATACAAACATATTTTTTGACAATCATACAGACTTTTGAAAAAATCATCTGGCATCCCTGGTTGTACCGCGCACTGCATTTTTATTTACAGTCAACTCTCCCCTACTCGCTTTTCAACATGTTATAAGTTTATGTACCACAAAAGATCAAATAATGGACGCAGTGGTTCAACTCCCCCCAACAAAAAAGCCTATCTTGATGATAATTTTCTTGTCGATAATTATTATAACATGTTATAACTCTACCAGTAGAACAATTCATTTTTACTAAAAAATATTCGGGATTCGACCGGTCAAACGAAATTATTAATTTTCGTGTTAAGTTAAGCTTCAGTAAAATCGATCATGATTTAGAGGTGCTTCTAGTAATTTTTGTGATTTTCTGGAAATTTCTGTCTTATAATATTTGTATCTCGAGACTGAAAGCGGATGTAATAAAGGCAAAGTTGTCTTTACCAGGGTTTTATGAATGTTGTTTTATAGTAGCTTTCTAGTACTTCATAAAACGTAAACTGTAAATGGGAATGAGGCCAGTTTTTGACTTGAATCTAAATCCACAAGAGAATCCAATAACAATTGCAATGGTGGTTCAGAGCGCCTTCCATTCATTTTGACTCAAACAATGTTTTAAGAAATTATGGAATAATAAGATATTATGAAAATATTTTGATTGTGTAAACAACAAAAAAAGATTGTAAAGTTTGTATTTGACACATAATACCTGCCAATTTTGCTACATGAGAGTCGCGATAAGCGATTTTGTAATTTATCTCACCCACTCTTCGCTCTTCACTCTTCGCGAAGAAGCGATCAGAAAAAACGCTCATTGTGACTCTTTCAAAGCTAAATTTGCAGGTTTGATGTGTCAAACACAAACTTAACAATCTTTTCTTATTACTTACACATACAATATATCATCATATTATCTTATTATTCCATAATTTCATAAAACATTTTTTTAGTCAAAATGAATGGAAGGCACCCTGGTTATATCAAGTGCCCAGTATCACAGTACACTCATCAGAACATGTTCCGGGTACACATGAAATCAATACGTAAGAAGGGTCAGATCTCACCATAAGTGGATTAATTCTGGGTTTCTTCTGCACAAAGCCCACAAAGATCACTCCAATAGCTGAGTAGCCCTCAGCGAGCACACTGAATATCCAGTTTTGACTTTGCCAGCCTTCAACAGCTTATTAGTCCAGTGGGCACCTAACACCTAACGTCTCAACTCGTCTTCTATCGTCATCTCGTCCGGTTTCACTGTCTCCTGGGATGGAGTCCTTAATTTCCGTCAACTCGCCTTAAGATTTTTCGACGAACTGTTTGTAGGTTCAGCTTTTGACCGAAGGGTCTGTCTTCAGCTTGAAGAGCATACAGTAACCCCTCCATATATGCGGTTGGTGGAACCGTTCACTAACCACTATTTCCCGACTGTCCTTAAACCAATTGAGTTGATTTCCTGCGTTTTTTTGGGCTCCTGTTCCTCTTCTGGCGTTTTTCCACCTATTTTTAAGCCAAGAATTCCTACAACCAGTTTCGCTTTCTCCAGACTGTTACTTTTAGTTTCTATGTGTAGGACCCCAAAACTGCTACTGATTTCAGATCCCTGACATGTTTTCAAACTTAACTTGATGGCACAAGAAGGCTCAAGATGTGTGTAAATGGAAAGAAAGATCGTTTACTTTTGAATTGCGAATATATTTGATACAAATGTTACAACGTTGTAATCTGTCAGTGGTCTACGCATGCCATCGGTCGCCAAAAATCAAAAACCATTTGTTGACTCCTGCTATATTGTTTAATTTTTTTCAGCGCATGGGGGGTCAACAGTCGTAGTACTGCAAGGCTCTTCAGTTGTGGTTGTAGTAGTGCATGGTTCCTGAGTGGTAGTCGTAGTAGTGCAAGGCTCTTGGGTGGTAGTAGTTGTAGTACACGGTTCTTGAGTCGTTGTAGTCGTAGTGCAAGGTTCCTGCGTAGTAGTCGTAGTAGTGCATGGCTCTTCTGTAGTAGTGGTAGTCGTACACGGTTCCGGAGTGGTAGTTGTAGCACATGGACAATTGGCAGGCAAGACACAGGTCCCATCAACGGTGTTGCGGACGTAACCATCGGTACAGAAGCAACCAGCTACGCAGACTGTATTACAAACTCCTGGGTGCTGGTTATCGCAGGTCGCGGGACAGCCTGTCCCGCATAGTTGGTATTCTTCGTATGGTTGAGTACAATCTAAAATGTCACCACATTAGCACTCATGCTTAAAAAATCTTAGTTTTACTTGAAATCAGGACTTACTATTACAAGGCGCACATTGTGGACGAGCCAATGCAAAGTTAATGCAAACCGCTACGATAATGGGAATAGCTGAAAACTTCATCTTCGCTTGGATTGATAACTTGAACTTAGCTGGAGGCTTGGATTGAACTGATGATTTGGCTTGGACTGGAATAGTTTTTATTCAAATCATAATCCAGGAACTGAACCCGGCATTTCTATTGCACGTGCGTTGCGATACCTTATGCGATGCACTCAACCGTATTCCAAGAGCCCAAAATGATAAGCTGGTGGCGTGAAGCTATTTGGCGATAAACCCATGAGGTCGTCCATTGTATGCTTGCGCTCTTCCAACACGTTTGTTTAAACAGTTTTGCTCAATTGTTGAGGCATCGAACTACTCAGTCGACTTTCTCGTACTTGGTGAACAGAGAGTGCATGGAGTTGAGACTACGAAACTGCAGACATGGTTTCATGACACCTCAATGATTTGATACAAATATGTCATTCAAACAATGCAAACCACGTACAAGTCTTTCGATGGTTAGCCTAATCGCATGTGAACCTCGGAGATATGGAGACATCAAAAAATACTCTCAATCTAAGGCCTGGTTGATCATTGCTGTACCTACATAGAAATCGTCTCCATCTCACTCGATTCATGGAAGCTCTGAGGGTCACCTTCAACCTAGTCGATCCATCTGTGCACCTCTTCGTCTTGTTCCAGTCGGGTTGTTTCCGTGAACCAGTTTCATCGGGTTATCGTCCGATATTTGTTCGACGTGCCCAGCAGGAAATGCTTTTATTTTAGAAATGTGTCGAGTCTTGGAATGTCCTACAAAGTTGGACTAAGATCATGACCGGAAATCGATGATTGATGCCATTTTGGAATCCAAGATGGTGACTTCCGATTTGTGCAAAGCTGTTAAATACAAACAAAATGGGTATTTTCGGAACGAGGACGACGAGGCCGGATATCAATGTTTGAAGCCACCCTGGAATTCTAAATGGCGTCTTCCGGTATTTGAAAAACTGCCAAATACTCTACAATAAGGGTATGTTTGGAACGGGGACGACGAGCTAAGGCTTATTAATTGCTAGCCAGATGGGCTAGGGATTCCCCTAACCTCTGGTCTAGCCACGGAGATTTTCTGGGGTGGGCTACACTCGCCTCTTTTGTTGGCTAGCTCGACCTCGAAACCCTAGAGCTTCAAGATCGGTTCCTGGCTTGTCAAAAGCACAAAACACCTATTAATAACTTTTCACACCCCTAGTTTATTGTCTCACTCACTCGTTATGTCTGTAGTGTGGGTGTGTAGATTCCCGAGTAAAGTCTGAGATCAAATTGAAATCTAAATTTGATGTTGTGATTTCGCTGATAATGATTGCTCAGGTTGCTGTCGTTTTGGTCGTTTTAACGGTTAAAATATCAAAATTGAGAGCAAAAAAAATCTATTTCTGCTATCAGTGAGAGCAAACTGAAAACTAAATTTGATATCAATTTTTCCTGTTGATAACATACCAAGTATTCAATTTGATGTTATTCTAAGGCAATGAAAACAAACCCGCAACAACATATTTTTGAAGAGCAAATGTACAGCAAAATGAAAACAAAATTTGTCAATTGCATAAACTGAAATCAAATTAGGATTTCAGTTTGATATTGATTGTCACCGTGTGGCACGACGGATGTTGCGCTAGGGCTCGATGGGGTGATCGACGGTGGTCTCTCAGTGGTCGTCGGTGTATTACCGGTGGACGCTTGCTACACGGGTTCTGGCTTGTTAACGGACGCCCTCGTGGTTTAGCCCGTAATTAATGGGTCCTGACTGGAATATGAGAGGTGGTCTAAGGGCTGGGAATTTCGCTACTGGGTTTTAATTGGGTCCCTCCTGACTCTGTATTTGTGCAGTACTTGTCGGTATTTGTTGGCGACTCTGTATACTTCACTTCTTTTTAAACTTATATAGCAAACTTGGCAGATCGATCTATCTCGCGCAATGGCTGAAGTGAAAGAGAACCTTTAGTTCAGCTTGACCCAGTAGCTTCCCCCATGACCTAAGCCCATTTCCACCTCCCTCACACTTTTCCACCACAACCATGGTGGAACAATGAACTGCAACGGCTGCGAAATCGTCTACGCAGGGCAAGGAAGCGTTACTTCCGGTCTAGGAATGAACAGCATAAGGCTGAGCTGCTTGACTTAGAGAGCGAATATAACTCTTTGCATGCACAATGCTTTCGCTGCTACATTCATCGTACTGAAGCAAGTTTGAAACAGGACCCCCAACAATTCTGGCAATATGTGAAGACCCGTAAGCGATCCAACGGAATGCCTCGACATCTTCGTTACCAAGGTGAGGCAGCTGTTCTCGGCGTTCTTTCGAAGTGTGCAAAGTAATAACCGACCACCTTTGACTGAAACGTACTTGAGCAATTTGCCGCACTACGACTTGAACGTGACCGTCTACAACTTCTCTCGACAAGATGTTTTTGCTAAGCTGGTTTCTATCGACACTTCGAAAGGAGCAGGTCCAGATCGTCTGTTTCCACTGGCAGTGGAAAAACTCAAACGCATGGGATTCCCTCAGTGGCTTAGATCACCGTGGCTTAGATCACCGAAGTACATGTTCGCTGATGACCTGAAATTCTTCCGCCTGATAACCTCCATGGTCGATTGTTGCGCTCTTCAGATGGATATCGACTCGCTTCTTGAATGGTGCTCATTAAACGGAATGGAAGTGAATATTCGTAAATGTAACATCATCTCGTTCAACCGATCTAGGACAACTGCCATTTTCGATTATAAGATGAACGCTTCAAGTGTCAACCGTGTGTCATCAATCAAGGATCTTGGATTAATACTGAACAGTAAGCTGAAATTCACCGAGCACATTGCAACAACCACCGCCAAAGCATATGCGATACTAGGGTTCATCAAGCGCAACACCCAGCAATTTGAGGATGTATACTGTCTAAAAACATTGTATTGTTCGCTAGTGCGTAGCATACTGGAATATGGTGTTCTAGTATGGGCACCGTATCACGTCACGCTTTGCTTTCGCATTGAAAAGATTCAACGTAACTTTGTCCGCTACGCTCTACGACTGTTACCATGGAACGATCCGGTTGTTCTTCCGCCGTAAGAGGATCGCTGTGCTTTAATTCGTCTTTCAACATTGGCTGATAGAAGGATTCTTCTGCAACGGCTGTTCATATTCGACATTCTGGACAACAATGTAGATTGTGCTGAACTTCTAGGGAAAATCCAGTTCAATGGACCGGCTAGGCAGACGCGACAAAATGACCTTCTCCGTATTCCTCAGCATCGTACAGTCTACGGTCAAAACAATCCACTGGATGTTTGCTGCCGTCGTTTCAACGAATCGCGTGAAGATTATGATTTTAATATTTCGAAAACCATGTTTAAAAATAGGATTAGTTCTTTAACTAGACATTAATAATTCTGTCTGTGCGTTTTTATTATACGAAGACAAGTAAATAAATAATATCCTTCTCCTGTTTCCAACGCCCACCTTCATCCTTACTCCTTCCCGTTATGTGTTGTTGGTGTGACTGGGTTACAATATTTAATTGGACCGTTGGTTTGGATATCAATGTTTGATGCAATTTTTAAATACCCAACAACATGATTATTTTCGGAACGGGGAGGACGTATAGAGGCCAGAAATCAATTTTTTTTTTTTTAAATGCGTTTATTTTTCCAGGCTCATTTGCCGTAGCTTTGCGGAGCCGATATTCATTGTTTGGATGACAAAATTTCTTAAAACTAACGTTAGTAAAGCGGGGGCCGATTACTCGCGGCTATCTCGAGGTTAGGGGTAACAAATTGTAACAAATGGATGGCAGGGTAGGGATTGAGAACACAGGGTTTGGAGAGCAATGTGCTTTTTATCTCGAACTAAGCGACCAACTGACGAAAAAGACAAACATGGGGGTACACCGATGGGCAGCTAACAACTTGGGGGAACACAAGATGACACTAACTACTAAATCCTCAGATCGATCCGTTTTAAAAACACATAAATTAAATTAAAATATTCGAGATCTCGGCTCGCCAAGATGTCTCTAACGGGCCGCATAGGTTGTTTTCCTCGGGCCCTGAGGGATGCGGATAACTCGGATCTAGCAACACAATGTAGGGTGCATGACCAAAGCACGTGGTCGATATCGTGATAGCCACTACCACAAGCGCACAAATTGCTGCCTGCGAGCCCGATTCGGAAGAAATGCGAGTCTAACGAGTAGTGATTGGACATGAGCCTTGATATGACACGTATAAAGTCACGGCTCATGTCCAATCCTTTGAACCATGGCTTGTTCGACACCTGTGGGAGAATAGAATGTAACCATCTTCCCAGATCACTCTCATTCCATTTTTGTTGCCAGTTGGTGAGGACGTGCTGACGGGTAATTGAGAAAAATTCCGCAAAGGCGATTTGTCGATCAAAAATATCGCCTTCCATAGCGCCCACCTTAGCTAGCGAGTCCGCTTTCTCATTACCCGGAATTGAGCAATGAGATGGGACCCAAGCTAAGGTGATAGTATAGGAGCAGTTAGATAAAGTACTCAATTTTGCTCGGATTTCGGTCAGGAAATACGAGGAGTGCTTCATCGGCCTCATTGATCGAATAGCCTCCAACGAGCTAAGGCTATCAGTAAAAATAAAATAGTGATCAGATGGTAGTGAGGCAATTTGCTCTACTGCGTAAAATATGGCTGCTAGTTCCGCAACGTATACGGAACAGGGTTTTTGCAGTTGATATGAGGCGCTATGAAATTCGTTGAATACTCCAAATCCAGTGGAAGCGTTTATAGTTGACCCATCTGTGAAAAAACTCTTATTGTTACTAACATGGTGGTACTTGTTTGCAAAAATTAAGGGAACAACCATCGATCGATGGTGATCTGGTATTCCACGGATTTCTTGCAACATGGTCAGATCAAAATTTACAGAGGAACTATAAAAGTCTTGGAGGCAAACACGAGAGGAATTGAATGAAGAAGGGCCAATCTCCAGCGTCATGTACTCGTAATAGAGACTCATGAATCTTGTTTGAGGATTTCTGTCGAGCAGCTTCTCAAAGTTTTCTATTACTAATGGGTTCATTACTTCACAACGGATAAGAAACCGGAAGGACAGTTC